ATGGTCACAAGTGTTGGAAAAGCTCCTTTTTAATATCACAAACTCTGCGTTATAGGTTTTGGTTACACATGAGAGTTCACAGTTTTCTCCCTTAAGAGGACAGAGGATGGAATAATGGTTGCTTATTGCAAAATCTCACAAGCGCTGCCTTTCGGTTAGCAGTAGCACGAAGTTAACAATGACGGCTAAAGCGGGTCAGGCTCCATCACAGGGGTTATTATGTATGGGAAGTGATGCATAGTATATTATTAAAGGTCATCCAGGGTATGTGTTGTGTGCAGGGTTGCAAAGGGGCAGAACATTTCCGGAAAGTTTCCATGGGAAGTTAAGCTGGGGAATTTTGGAAATATTCGATGCAAAATTAAACAAAAAACATGAAATTTCAAGAGATTAAAAAAAAAAAAAATAAAGTTTTAATTATTTTATTGAACAATTACTTGTTTCATTGAAGAACGAAAACAGGAATGTTGAGTTAAATATAACTCATCTGTGCATGTGATGGAGGAATGCACAGTGCCTGTAGGGGGTGTGGTCTCAATAGCCATGCAGTAAACAGTGTGCTATGGCATGGATATTCAAGTGTACTTGAATGACAACGAAATATTATCGTCGAAAATTTGTGGTTTTATATTTACATACAATGTCAACCTAGGCTAATGTTAGGTGTGACGGATTTTGCAAGTTTTGGTGTTCTTATTGCTCGCGCAATAAAAAACCACAAAGTCAACCCTAATGAGAGAAATTCAAAATGACCACGACTACTCAACATTCGAATAAGATAATCCTCACCGAACTTACACTCGGGACATGAACGAAGAGCGGCGACAAGGGGGCTGTCCTGTTTCCCCGGTTCTGAAGTCATCCACAGCTGGAATTTTGCTTCGCGGCAGATTGCGGCGAACGCGACGGGAGTGTGTTGATGCCAACGTTTAAGGCCCTTAAAAGTTTCTACCTTTGAAATTGCCCCTTAAATACCCTTATTTGACCCTTAAAAGAGATTTAAACTTTTCAACCACGAGAAGTATCCCTTGACATTTATATCAACCCCTTTATATAAAATACGATATTAGAACTGAATTTTG